ATTGTTGCCCCCCCCCAAGCACCAAGAATACGGAGCATCCCTTGCCCCAGACTGAGAGTTCCTATAAGAACTCCAGAAGCCCTTCCACTGTGCCCCGCCTGAACCAAGAATATAGAGCATCAGTGCCCCAGACAGAGTGTTCCATCTCTACTTTGTGGCTAATATGATGGACCTCTGCTCCATATAAGAGCGTAAAAGAAGCCCTGTTGGATCAGGCCAGTGGCCCATCCAGCCCAACACTCTGTGTCACACAGTGGCCAAAACCCAGGTACCATCAGGAGGTCCACCAGTGGGGCCAGAACTCCAGAAGCCCTGCCCCAGACAGAGTGTTTCATCTGTAAGGTAAAGGTAAAGGTTCCCTTGCTCGAAAGCCAGTCGAGTCCGACTCTAGGGTTGCGGTGCTCATCTCCGTTTTCAAAGCCGAAGAGCCAGCGCTGTCCGAAGACGTTTCCGTGGTCATGTGGCCGGCATGACTAAACACGGAACGCTGTTACCTTCCCACCAAAGTGGTATGTATTTATCTACTTGCAATTTCTTGCTTTTGGTTGGCAGGAGTTGGAACTAGAGATGGGAGCTCACTCCATCATGCGGCACCTGGGTCTCGAACTGCTGAATTACTGACCTTCCACAGCCTGCAGTTCAGCGTCTTAACCACTTGAGCCACCACAGTTCCTTGTAGCTGTACCTTGTGGCTAATAGCCACTCATGGACCTCTGTTCCATATAAGAAAAGAAGAGAAGCCGTGTTGGATCAGGCCAATGGCCCATCCAGTCCCACACTCTGTGTCACACAGCGGCTAAAACCCAGGTGCCCTCAGGAGGTCCACAAGCCTGACCAGAAGAACTCCAGAAGCCCTCCCACTGTGAGACCCCAAGCACTAAGAATACAGAGCATCACTACCCCAGACCACCTGCTGGCTCCTATCATCGGGCACAGCTTGGCCCTCCAGTTAGTTCATGCATTCTCTCGTGTTACCAAATGTACAGAAAAAACAATGTGATCCCTTGAGCATTCGCTGTGTGCCCCATTTTGTGTGTGTATATTTGTGCATACACCCAGTATGAGCTTATGGCACGAGATACTCTAGTTTGCGCAAATGTGTGTAGCTATATCAGGACCACAGGTAGGCTGGAAAGTGAGTGTGCCGCCTATGTGAAGCGTTGTGTCATGTACGTGTCTGTATGTGTTCTGAAAAGTGTGAAGAACTGTGAGGGCTTCCCCATTAGTTTCACTGCGAGTTCAGCCCAGCATGCACACAAAGATGGGAACAAAATGCAATTTAACAAGGGTAAGTACCAAGTTCCACATCTGGGTAACAAGAATGAGGGACACACATACTGGATGGAGGAGACACTTCTGGGGAGCAGTGTGTGTGAACAAGATCTTGGGGTACAGCTAGACCATAAGTTAAATATGAGCTGCCAATGTGATGCAGCAACAAAAAAGGCCAATGCAATCTTGGGCTGTATCAACAGAGGCACCACATCCAACTCACAAGATGTGATAGTTCTGCTGTACACTGCATCGGTCAGGCCACACCTGGAGCATTGTGTGCAGTTCTGGAGGCCTCACTTCAAAAAGGATGTGGACAGAATGGAGCGGGTGCAGAGGAGCGCGACGAGGATGATCGGGGGCCTGGAGGCCGAGACCTACGAGGAAAGGCTGAGGGACTTGGGAATGGTCAGTCTGGAGAAGAGGAGGTTGAGGGGGGACATCAGACTCGTAGCTACAGTGGGGCATTTCGAGGCCTGGCCCCCTGACTTCCATCCAGCCGCCAGCGTCAGTGCCCCCCCATAGCTAGCAATCCAAAACAGTCCAGTGGCACCTTTAAGACCAAGTTTTATTCAGGTACAAGCTCTCCCTCCTCTGTGAGGCCAGATCTGCACGTTACCCCCCCCAATAGCTAGCAATCCAAAACAGTCCAGTGGAGCCTGATCGGTGGGTGTTGCCTTCTGACACACTTCCGGTGATGTCAGGGGGTGTGGCATGTGCAAACGAGTTATGCTAACGAGTTATGCTAATGAGCTCCTGCACCTCTTTTTCTACGAAATGACCCCTGGATGGATGTATACACATCGATGGCAGTTGGGGTCTTGTGTGCGGGCAGGAATGGGATGGGATGCATGTGCTCAATAGAGGAGGGAGAGCAGAGATGGGGAAAGGAATGGAGGTCTGTGGTTGGGTCTGCCTGGCATGCAGAAGGTCCCAGGTTCAAGTCATTACATCTCCAGTTGGAAGGATCAGATAGTAGATGACGTGGAAGACCTCCGCCTGAGACCCCGGAGAGCTGGAGCTAGTCTGAGTGGACAACAATTACCTCGATGGACCAAGTGTTTGAAACAGTATAATGTGTTCAGCCATGCCCGAATGCTCCGTGATCCACATGCGACAATACTCCCTAGGTTGTTCATCCGCACACACAGCCAGTGTGGTGGAGTGATTAGAAAACTGGACTAGCACCCGGGAGATCCAGACCCGGAGGCTGGATGACCATCTTTCGGGTACGTTGTAGGGCTCTCTTTTGGCTATGCGCCTGCAGAGTGCAGGGGGTTGGGACTGTTGTAAAATAGTCAAAAGTGTTTAATACTTAAGACTATCGATGGATCTTGCTCTATTGGAAAGAAGAGATTTCTTTGCTTTTAAAAACCTTTATTTCTAAGGGTAAAAGGTATACGGGATTACTACAAATTAACATAACACTAACAGCTACATTTTCTAAGCTGCCTATAGTCAACACTAGCACACAGATAATGGAGAATCTCTCCTTCTTCTTGACCCCTAGAAAGGAAGTCACCTGAAACAAACGACCAATCTGTATCACAACAGAAGCTACTTTTCCCGGGCTAATTCCTTATTGGCTCAGTGCCAGGTATCCCTTCCAGGTCAGTCTAAACAATAGCAATACTAGGCAAACACGTTAACCCTATAATGACTGAATTGTCAGACCTTGTAAACACATACATTTCCAACAGGGACGAGATGACCTGCAAGGTCCCTTCCAACTCTGACATTGATTCTATGATTCAAATCTCCACTCAAACAGGAAGCTCACTGGGTGACCTCGGGCCTCTCAGTTTATTATGTATTTATTTATTCGTTTCGATTTAGATCCCGCCTTGCCAGGGCAAGCGGGCTCAAACTCTCTCTGCTACCCCGCAGGGTTGTTGTGAGAGCAACCAGGAGGAGCGGATCCAGATCTGCTGCTCAGGGTTCTTTGGAGGACGGACGGGAGAGACACAGAGAGAGGCGAGTGTCAGAGGGGTGGTTATGTTGATCTGCCAATGCCATAGAAGAGCAAGGCTGGAGTCCAGTCGCACTGCAGAGACCAGAGATTTTCGGGGTGCGGACTTTCCAGAGTCAAAGATGCCCCCGTCACATATCTGATGAACGGAGATTTCAGGACATATCCTGGAAATCCTGTTGGTGTCTGAAGTGCTACTCCCGACTTTATGCAGAGAGTAAGTAAAATGTGGAGTTTGCTGCCAGAGAATGTAGTGATGGGCACAGGAATAAACAGCTTTCAGAGGGGGTTAGAGAGATTCATGGAGGATAACTCTATCAGTGGCTACTAGCTGTGGTGACTGAGGGAAACCTCCACATTCAGAGGCAGTCAACCTCTGAATCCCAGAGCCAGGAGGCAACATCAGGGGAAGGCCTTGGCCTCTAGGCCCTGTTGTTGGCCCTCCAGAGGAACTGGTTGAACACTGTATGAGAGAGACAGGATGCTGGACTAGATGGAGCCACTGGTCGATCCAGCAGGGCTCTTTTGATGTTCTTATGAAGGCCTCGGCCGCTCTGCCCTGTTGTTGGCCATCCAGAGGAACTGGTTGGCCACTGTATGAGAGAGACAGGATGCTGAACTAGATGGACTATTGGTCTGATCCAGCAGGGCTCTTCTGATGTTCTTATGAAGGCCTCGGCCTCTCTGTCCTGTTGGTGGCCCTCCAGAGGAACTGCTTGGCCACTGTATGAGAGAGACAGGATGCTGGACTAGATGGACTATTGGTCTGATCCAGCAGGGCTGTTCTTAAGTTCTCATGAAGACCTCGGCCTGTCTGCCCTGTTGTTGACCCTCCAGAGTTGGCCACTGTGTGAGTCAGGATACTGGACTAAATGGACCACTGGTCTGATCCAGCAGGGCTCTTCTGATGTTCTTATGAAGGCTTCGGCCTCTGTGCTCTGCTGTTGGCCCTCTAGAAGAACTGCTTGGCCACTGTATGAGAGAGACAGGATGCAGGACTGGATGGACCACTGGTCTGATCCAGGAGGGCTCTTGTGATGTTTTCATGAAGGTCTCAGTCTCTATGCCCTGTTGTTGGCCCTCCAGAGGAGCTAGTTGGCCACTGTATGAGAGAGAGAGGATGCTGGACTAGAGGGACCACTGGTCTGATCCAGCTGGGCTCTTCTGATGTTCTTATGAAGGCCTCGGCCTCTATGCCCTGTTGGTGGGCATCCAGAGGAACCGGGTGGCCACTGTGTGAGACAGGATGCTGGACTTGATGGACCACTGGTCTGATCCAGCAGGGCTCTTCTTGTGTTCTTATGAAGGCCTCTGCCTCTGTGCCCTGTTGTTGGCCCTCCAGAGGAACTGGCTGTCCCCTGTGTGAGACAGGAGGCTGGACTGGAGGGACCACTGGTCCGATCCAGCAGGGCTCTTCTGAGGTTCTTATGAGTTGGCAGTCCTCCCTTCCCAGCCTGTGTAGATGTGAAACTTCATCGGCTAGCAGTGCCAGGCAGCTCCCAGGTGACTGAGGCGCAGAGTTGGGGGGGGGCGGGCTTCTCCTCGCCCCCTCTCCCTCCCAGCCGCCGCTATCAGAGAATGCAGCCCCTTATCTGGCATTCCAGAGCCCGGGAGGCAGAGGGTACAGCGACTCGGCTAATTATGGGCATTTCTCTCGCCTCCTTCCCTGGCCCTCCCCCCTCGACTCATCACGGAGGCATCCTCGCAGGCCCTCCGAATGACCCGTCCCAGTCCAGAGCTGCCACCATCCCCGGGGGCCATGTCTTCCGTCAGCTCTTCGTCCAGCTTTCGCTCTGAGCGCATCAGCACCTACAGCCCTGCGGAGACCCGTTTCGAACCCCTGCTGGACCCTCCGCACGGGATCTTTGGCTCCGGGCGGCCACGGGAGTCCTACGGGTACTCAGGTGAGCATTCCAAGGAGGCTGGGCCCGTTTCTCCTTTCTGGCTTAGGATCGGGTCTGATTTGGGTGTTGCCCAGAAAACAGTTTGCTGCTCTTTTGGAGTCTCCCATAGGTTGAGGGGGCATCCCCGAATGAATGGCCAATGGCTGAGCATCGAGTTGCCAGACTGCAGGAGGCACCTGGAGATCTTCCACTGTTGCAATTGCTCTGCAGACAATCTTCCGTACCCCTGGAGAAAATGGCTGCTTTGGACAGTGAAGAAGAAGAAGAAGAAGAAGAAGAAGAAGAAGAGGAAGAAGAAGAAGGAGAAGGAGAGGAAGAAGAAGAGGAAGAAGAAGAAGAAGAAGAGGGAGGAGGAGGAGGAGGAGGAGGAGGAGGAGATTGGATTTATCCCCCGCCCTTCACTACCCAAAGGAGTCTCAGAGCGTCTTACAACCTCCTTCCCCTTCCCCTCCCCACAACAGACACCCTGTGAGGTGGGTGGGGCTGAGAGAGCTCTGACAGAAACTGCTCTTTTTCAAGGACAGCTCTGACAGAACTGTGGCTTGCCCAAGGTCATCCATCAGCTGCAAGTGGGGGAATCAAACCCGGCTCTCCCAGATTAGAGTCTGCGCACTTAACCACTACACCAAACTGGCTCTAGCATTATACCCTCCCCTCCCTAGGCTCCACACCCCAAAATATCCAGGTATTTTCCAACCAAGAGCTGGCAACCAGGCAGAGCTAACCCCGGGTCCCTTGGGGCTGGAGAATTCTAGGCAGTCCTACTCAGAAGTAAGCCCCACATTATTGACTGGGGCTTATTCCCAGGAAAGGGGCTTGCAGTTACAACACTGTGGCAAAGGGGATCTTTAAGAGAAGAGCCCAGCAGGATCAAACCCAGTCGTAGGTTGCCAACTCTGGGCTGGAAAATCCCTGGAGATTTGGGGGTGGACCCTGGGGGGGTATGGGGAGGAGAGGGGACTTCTGCTAGGCACAATGCCATGGAGTCCACCCTCCAAAGCAGTCATTTCCTCCAGGGGGAACTGGTCCCTGTCATCTAAAGAGCCATTGGAATACTGGGAGATCTCCAGGTCCCACCCAAAGGTTGGCAACCCAACCCAGGACTTACTAGCCCCCCCCCTGCAATGTGGCCAGTCCGACACTTCTGGGTTACAGGCAGATTCTACCTTCCACACCAGGCTACAAAGTCATGGACCCTGCTGTACGCTCTAAAATCTGTTGCTTAAGGGTGTACTGCCACTGATTACGGAGGTTCTATTCAGCAGCGATGAAGACTGATGACAGAGCGGCGTACTTGTCCAGTGGCTTTCTAACACCACCAAAGGCAGTGATTAAACAGGAGAGCCAGTTTGGTGTATTGGTTAGGAGCACAGACTCTAATCTGGGAGTGCCGGGTTTGATTCTCCACTCCTCCCCATGCAGCCAGCTTGGTGACCTTGAGTCAATCACAAGTTGTCTCAGAGCTGTTCTCTCAAGTGCAATTCTCGAGAGAGCTCTCTCAGCCCCACCTACCTGATGGGGTGTCTGTTGTGGGGAGGGGAAGGGAAAGGAGATTGTAAGCCGCTCTGAGACTCTGAGTGAAGGGTGGGGGACAAATCCAGTCCTCTTCCTCTTCTTCACCTGGGGGCCACTCCCCTTCATAAGAGTGCAGTTTGTCACGCTGGAGAGGGAAAGGGTACCGTTGTGCAGAAATTGCTTCCTATGCAGCTGTTAAAGCACAGGCCCAGGAACCTAGGGTTGCCATCTCCAGGTTGGGACAATTCCTGGAGATCTGGGTGTGAAACCTGGAGAGGGCAGAGTTTGACAAGGGGCGGGGCCTCAGCAGGGAATAGTGCTACGGAGGCCACCCTCTGAAACAGCCATTTTCTCCAGGTGAATTGATTTTTGTAGTCTATTGTAATGCTGGGAGATCTCAAATCCCACCTGGAGGTTGGCAACCCTACTTTCCCAGTGTCCTCTTGGTATAGTGGTGAAGAGTGGCAGATTCTAATCTGGAGAACCGGGTTTGATTCCCCATGCCTCCACATGCAGCTGCCGGTGTGACCTTGGGTCAGTCACAAGTTCTCTCAGAGCTGTTCTCTCAGGAGCAGCTCTCTAAGAGCTCTCTCAGCCCCACCGACCTCACAGGGTGTCTGTTGTGGGGAGAGGATAGGAAGGTGATTTTAAGCCACTCCGAGACTCCTTCGGGTAGTGAAAGGCGGGGTATAAATCCAATCTCCTCCTCCTCCCTCCGCTTCCTCCTCTGGGTGGGGAAATATTTGGATATTTTTGGGAGTGGGGAAGGGAGGGACTTCGGCAGGGTACAACACCCAGAGAGCCTATCCTCCAAAGCAGCCTTTCACTCCAGGGGAAACTGATCTCTACAGTCTGAAGATCAGTTGCAATTCTGGGAGATCTCCAGTCCTTGTCTGGAGGTTGGCGACCCATGTTCCTTCTAAGCTGTATTTATGAGCGGCTGCTTCTCAACACGGGAAGCCCTGCTCAGCAGCGACCCCGATCGGTGAAGGGTCTTGTACTTCCCATTGCCCGTTTTAAGACGACAGCAGTTATCTTCCAAGCGGGATGTGCGTTCCCTCTAAGCCGAGTGAGTGTGAGCCAGCTCACGGTTTTTTAGCCTCCGGCTCACACATTTCTATCTTGGCTCAGGAAGGGACGGCTCCCGAGCCAACTAACTGACGCAGCAGCCAAATCGCTCGCTCGCAACTTTTAATGCCAGTGGCTCACAGAGTAGGATTTTTGCTCACAGGACTCCACAGCTTAGAGGGAGCATTGATTTTAAGCTCTTGTCAAGAAAACAAAAGCCAGGGCGGTGTAGTGGTTAAGAGCAGTGTTCCCACTAAGCTGAGTGAGTGTGAGCCAGCTCACAGTTTTTTTAGCCTCCAGCTCACACATTTCTGTCTTGGCTCAGGAAGGAGGGCTCCAGAGCAGTGTTCCCTCTAAGCTGAGTTAGTGTGAGCCAGCTCACAGTTTTTTTAGCCTCCAGCTCACACATTTCTGTCTTGGCTCAGGAAGGAGGGCTCCAGAGCAGTGTTCTCTCTAAGCTGAGTTAGTGTGAGCTAGCTCACAGTTTATTAGCCTCCGGCTCACACATTTCTGTCTTAGCTCAGGAAGGGACGGCTCCGGAGCAAACTAATTGACGCAGCAGCCAAATGGCTCGCTCACAACTTTAATGCCGGGAGCTCACAAAGTAGGATTTTTGCTCACAAGACTCCGCAGCATAGAGGGAGCATTGCTCCAGAGCCAACTGATTGATGCAGCAGCCAAATCGCTCGCTCACAACTTTTAATGCCAGTGGCTCACAGACTAGGATTTTTGCTCACAAGACTCCACAGCTTAGAGGGAGCATTGGATGTGGACTGCTCCACTCAGTAAGGGGGGGGGAATGAGTGGGAGAGTTGTTGATGGCAACCCTGAATCCCCCTGCGTCCTCTTCCCCCGTCTGCCTCTCCCCCGTGCAGGCCCCCCTCCGTCAGTGCACCCCTCCACCCTGGGGAGCAGCAACGTGGTGGCCAGCGGGGACAAGTACCAGGTCCTGGCCGACGTCAGCCAGTTTGAGCCCCACGACATCGTGGTGACCACCTACAACTACTGTATCGTCATCCAGGCCGAGAAGGTGAGAGGAGCCAGGCCGAGTTGGGTGGGGTTTTGCATTCGGAGGAATCTGCCCTCCCCACGGTTCAGCCACGTGGCAGCAAGAACGATCGTTTTCAGCACTGTGTCTGACTCCCTGGTTCTCATTCATTGCCTCGTGCTCAGTGCTGAAAGGCCCTCACGTGGGTGGCCCAGGCTAGGCCTGATCTCGTCAGGCCTCGGAAGCTAGGAAGGGTCAGGCCTGGTTAGTCCTTGGATGGGAGACCACCCAGGGAGGTCCAGGGTTGCTCTGCAGAGGCAGGCAATGGCCAGCCACCTTCGTCAAGTTAAAGCAGGCTCAGTCCTAGTTAGTCCTTGGATGGGAGACAACCAAGGGAAGTCCAGGGTTGCTACGCAGAGGGCAAACCACCTCCATCAAGTTAAGCAGGGTCAGCCTTGGTTAGTCCTTGGATGGAAGACCACCATGGAAAGTCCAGGGTTGCTATGCAGAGGCAGGCAATGGACAACCACCTCTGTCAAGCTAAGCAGGGTCAGCCTTGGTTAGTCCTTGGATGGGAGACCACCAAGGAAGTCCAGGGTTGCTACGCAGAGGCAGACAAGGGCAAACCAGCTCCGTCAAGCTAAGCAGGCTCAGTCCTAGTTAGTCCTTGGATGGGAGACGACCAAGGGAAGTCCAGGGTTGCTACGCAGAGGGCAAACCACCTCCATCAAGTTAAGCAGGGTCAGCCTTGGTTAGTCCTTGGATGGGAGACCACCAAGGAAGTCCAGGGTTGCTCTGCAGAGGCAGACAAGGGCAAACCAGCTCCGTCAAGCTAAGCAGGCTCAGTCCTAGTTAGTCCTTGGATGGGAGACGACCAAGGGAAGTCCAGGGTTGCTACGCAGAGGGCAAACCACCTCCATCAAGTTAAGCAGGGTCAGCCTTGGTTAGTCCTTGGATGGGAGACCACCAAGGAAGTCCAGGGTTGCTCTGCAGAGGCAGACAAGGGCAAACCAGCTCCGTCAAGCTAAGCAGGCTCAGTCCTAGTTAGTCCTTGGATGGGAGACGACCAAGGGAAGTCCAGGGTTGCTACGCAGAGGGCAAACCACCTCCATCAAGTTAAGCAGGGTCAGCCTTGGTTAGTCCTTGGATGGGAGACCACCAAGGAAGTCCAGGGTTGCTCTGCAGAGGCAGACAAGGGCAAACCAGCTCCGTCAAGCTAAGCAGGCTCAGTCCTAGTTAGTCCTTGGATGGGAGACGACCAAGGGAAGTCCAGGGTTGCTACGCAGAGGGCAAACCACCTCCATCAAGTTAAGCAGGGTCAGCCTTGGTTAGTCCTTGGATGGGAGACCACCAAGGAAGTCCAGGGTTGCTCTGCAGAGGCAGACAAGGGCAAACCAGCTCCGTCAAGCTAAGCAGGCTCAGTCCTAGTTAGTCCTTGGATGGGAGACGACCAAGGGAAGTCCAGGGTTGCTACGCAGAGGGCAAACCACCTCCATCAAGTTAAGCAGGGTCAGCCTTGGTTAGTCCTTGGATGGGAGACCACCATGGAAAGTCCAGGGTTGCTACGCAGAGGGCAAACCACCTCCATCAAGTTAAGCAGGGTCAGCCTTGGTTAGTCCTTGGATGGGAGACCACCAAGGAAGTCCAGGGTTGCTCTGCAGAGGCAGACAAGGGCAAACCAGCTCCGTCAAGCTAAGCAGGCTCAGTCCTAGTTAGTCCTTGGATGGGAGACGACCAAGGGAAGTCCAGGGTTGCTACGCAGAGGGCAAACCACCTCCATCAAGTTAAGCAGGGTCAGCCTTGGTTAGTCCTTGGATGGGAGACCACCATGGAAAGTCCAGGGTTGCTACGCAGAGGGCAAACCACCTCCATCAAGTTAAGCAGGGTCAGCCTTGGTTAGTCCTTGGATGGGAGACCACCAAGGAAGTCCAGGGTTGCTCTGCAGAGGCAGACAAGGGCAAACCAGCTCCGTCAAGCTAAGCAGGCTCAGTCCTAGTTAGTCCTTGGATGGGAGACGACCAAGGGAAGTCCAGGGTTGCTACGCAGAGGGCAAACCACCTCCATCAAGTTAAGCAGGGTCAGCCTTGGTTAGTCCTTGGATGGGAGACCACCATGGAAAGTCCAGGGTTGCTACGCAGAGGGCAAACCACCTCCATCAAGTTAAGCAGGGTCAGCCTTGGTTAGTCCTTGGATGGGAGACCACCATGGAAAGTCCAGGGTTGCTACGCAGAGGGCAAACCACCTCCATCAAGTTAAGCAGGGTCAGCCTTGGTTAGTCCTTGGATGGGAGACCACCAAGGAAGTCCAGGGTTGCTCTGCAGAGGCAGACAAGGGCAAACCAGCTCCGTCAAGCTAAGCAGGCTCAGTCCTAGTTAGTCCTTGGATGGGAGACGACCAAGGGAAGTCCAGGGTTGCTACGCAGAGGGCAAACCACCTCCATCAAGTTAAGCAGGGTCAGCCTTGGTTAGTCCTTGGATGGGAGACCACCATGGAAAGTCCAGGGTTGCTACGCAGAGGGCAAACCACCTCCATCAAGTTAAGCAGGGTCAGCCTTGGTTAGTCCTTGGATGGGAGACGACCAAGGGAAGTCCAGGGTTGCTACGCAGAGGGCAAACCACCTCCATCAAGTTAAGCAGGGTCAGCCTTGGTTAGTCCTTGGATGGGAGACCACCAAGGAAGTCCAGGGTTGCTCTGCAGAGGCAGACAAGGGCAAACCAGCTCCGTCAAGCTAAGCAGGCTCAGTCCTAGTTAGTCCTTGGATGGGAGACGACCAAGGGAAGTCCAGGGTTGCTACGCAGAGGGCAAACCACCTCCATCAAGTTAAGCAGGGTCAGCCTTGGTTAGTCCTTGGATGGGAGACGACCAAGGGAAGTCCAGGGTTGCTACGCAGAGGGCAAACCACCTCCATCAAGTTAAGCAGGGTCAGCCTTGGTTAGTCCTTGGATGGGAGACCACCAAGGAAGTCCAGGGTTGCTCTGCAGAGGCAGACAAGGGCAAACCAGCTCCGTCAGGCTAAGCAGGCTCAGTCCTAGTTAGTCCTTGGATGGGAGACCAGCCAGGAAAGTCCAGGGTTGCTACGCAGAGGTGGGCAGTGGCAAACCACCTGTCAGGCTAAGCTGGGTCAGGCGTGGTTAGTCCTTGGATGGGAGATAGGGTTGCCAAATGGTACTCACCTCCTTGGCGGGGGACTCCTGGGGACCTCCTGGTGCGAGCGCAAAGCACGCGCGCAACATATCGACGTCACCCGGATGTGATGTCGCACGCTGGGGGCGAGGCCACAGCCATTTGAGGGGAAAACATCCGGGTGACGTGCACGCAGGGGTGGGGTTTCCCCCGGGGGCCGATTCTGTCGCGTCAGAAATCGGGCCGCCAAAGCGGGGGATTCCCCGCCCCCCGGCCCCATTTGGCAACCCTAATGGGAGACCACCCAGGAAAGTCCAGGGTTGCTATGCAGAGGCAGACAAGGGCAAACCAAGAGTCAGTCCTAGTTAGTTCTTGGACGGGAGACCACCAAGGAAGTCCAGGGTTGCTACGCAGAGGCAGGCAAGGGAAAACCACCTCTGAACATCTCTTGCCTTGAAAGCCCTCCAGGGTCACCATGCCAGCTTCCACCTGACAGCACTTTTCACCACCGCGAAGGGCGGAGACGTCCGCTCCGTGTGGATGTACAGCGCACAGTGGGCCGGGAAAGGGAGGTTTCAACCGCCTCTCCCGTTTTTCCTGCCGCAGTTCCCGCCTCCTCCGCAGAGGCTTCCCTCCCAAGCGTTACAAACGTGCAAAAACTCTATGTTAGAATTTTAAGTCAGGTTGATCTATGGCTGATGGGAAATGCAGAAGAGAGAGAGAGAAGGATTGCAAAAAAGAAGAAGAAAGAAACACATTCCTATGCAGGGCTCTTTTGGTAGAAAAAGCCCAGCAGGAACTCATTAGCATAATAGGCCACACCCAACAGCAGAAACTCATTAGCATATGAGGCCACACCCCTGACAGCACAGCTCATTAGCACATTAGGCTGCACCCCCATGCAGGGGTCGTTTCGTAGAAAAAGAGCTAGGGGAACTCATTAGCATAACTCATTAGCGTATGCCACACCCCTGACATCACCGGAAGTGTGTCATAAGGCCACAAACCCCGCCCCCAACGGTCCTGGCCGCCGCCGCTGGCCTTGCAGCTCCACTGCTGAGCCCCACGAAGGCCCTCCCTGGGCCCCAGGCAGGCAGGGGTGGGGAGAGGCAGGGAGGAAGCAACTTACCCTCCCTCTTCTCCTGCCTCCTCCTGGCTGAATGAGGGCCAGAAGCAGAGCGGCCGGAAGCAGGGGGCGGGGCTTCATCATGTGCCCCCCCGTACCTCACCCGGGGGAACTGCGATCCCCCGCGATCCCCCCCGAAATGACCTCTGCCCTCATGTTACCAGAAGTGTGGTTATCACGCCAAACCCACCTTTTGCTTGTTATTCTGTTTACCTTGTTTGTTGTCAAAACCCAGGGCTTTTTGCATGTTAGGCCACACAAATGGGTGTGTGCTGGTGGGGGGGGCCTATTATGCTAATGGGTTCCTGCTGGGCGTGGCCAACTCGGGAGCCAGCCGGAACTCCGTTCCTGTGCGTTCCTGCCCCAAAATAGACCTGAGTCTATGTCTGCTTGCCTTGCAGGTGGCGGAAGACGGCACCGTTTCGAACACCTTCACCCATAAGTGCCAGCTCCCGGCAGACATGGACCCCCTGTCGATCAGCTGCGCCCTGAACAACTCTGGCATGTTGGTCATCACCGCCAAGCGGCGAGCCCTGACGCCACCCCCTCTCTACCGCAGTGAAGTCAAGCTCTAAGATGACCCCCTCCCCCTTCTCCCACACAGCAGAGCCCTTTGCCCTCACACCCCCTAACTTGGAGTGGAGATGGGTGACCCAGAAACTGTTTCTCAAGCTGGTGGGTGGCGCTCATTAACAGCACATTCCATCGTGCTCAACTGAGGCACACTGGATTAGACCAATAGTCCCTCTAGTCCAGCCTCCTGTCTCATCCAGTGGCCAAACAGTTTCTCTGGAGGGCCAACAACAGGGCAGAGAGGCCGAGGCCTTCATAAGAACATTAAAAGAGCCCTGCTGGATCAGACCAACCATCCCTCTAGTCCAGCATCCTGTCTCACACAGTGGCCAACCAGCTCCTCTGGAGGGCCAAAAACAGGGCAGAGAGGCTGAGGCCTTCATAAGAACATCAAAAGAGCCCTGCTGGATCAGACCAACCGTCCCTCTAGTCCAGCATCCTGTCTCACACAGTGGCCAACCAGCTCCTCTGGTGGGAGGGCCGACAACAGGACCTAGAGGCCGAGGCCTTCATAAGAACATCTTAAGAGTCCTGCTGGATCAGACCAGTGGTCCCTTTAGTTCAGCATCCTGTCTCACACAGGGGCCAACCAGTTCCTCCGGAGGGCGAACAACAGGGCAGGGAGGCTGAAGCCTTCATAAGAACATCAGAAGAGCCCTGCTGGATCAGACCAGTGGTCTAGTCCAGCCTCCTGTCTCACACAGTGGCCAGCCAGTTCCTCTGGAGGGAGGGCCAACAACAGGGCCTAGAGGCCGAGGCCTTCATAAGAACATCTTAAGAGCCCTGCTGGATCGGACCAGTGGTCCCTCTAGTTCAGCCTCCTGTCTCATCCAGTGGCCAACCAGTTCCTCTGGAGGGCCAACAACAGGGCAGAGAGGCCGAGGCCTCTGTAATAACCTCAGAAGAGCCCTGCTGGATCAGACCAGCAGTTCATCTAGTCCAGCCTCCTGTCTCACACAGCAGCCAACCAGTTCCTCCCGATGCCCAACCATAGAAGCTGAGGCTTTCCTCTGATGTTGCCTCCTGGCTCTGGGATTCAGAGGATTAGTGCCTTGAATGTGGAGGTTCCCCTCAGTCCCCATGGCTAGTAGCCATTGATAGGCTTGTCCTCCATGAATCTATCTAATCCCCCCTTTAATGCTGTTTATTCCTGTGGCCATCACGACCTCCTCTGGCAGCGCATTCCACATTTTAGTCACTCTCTTTGTGAAGTAGTATTTCCTTTGGTCTATTCTGAACCTACTGCCCATGAGCTTCATTGGATGCCCTTGAGTTCTCGTATTTGGGGCGAGGGAGAAAAAGTCCTCTTGGTCAACTCTCTCCACCCAATGTGTAATTTATAAACTTCTATCGTGACCCCCCCCCATCACTTCTTTTCTAAACTGAAAAGTCCCAGACTCTCCAGCGTTTTCTCAGAGGGAAGGTGCTCCAACCCCCAAATCATCTCGGTTGCCCTCCTCGGCACTTTCCCCAGCTCTGCAAGGTCCTTTTTGAGAGACGGGGACCAGCACTCTACACAGTGTTTCAAATGAGGCCGCACCAGAGATCTATAATACAGGGGCATTACAATATCAGCTGTTTTATTTCCATTTGTCTTGCTGCTGAGATAGAGGCAGTTGCATTAAATGGACTCAGGGCGGGTTCAAGGTGGCTTATCAGCCCAAGTGAGATGTATCCTTTTGCTGCTGGGCCCGTAACCTGGCTGGCAACATCCTGGGCTCAGCTGGTGACGCTGGTCACTGCCCATGCTGCTGGTGGCTGGGAGTGAGCTGAGCCCCCTGGGTGGATTGGGACCATCCTCTTCACACCATCCCAAGCAGCGTTCCCTCTGAGCTGAGTTAGCGTGAGCCAACTCACAGTTTTTTAGCCTCCGCTCACACATTGTCTTGGCTCAGGAAGGAGGGCCCCAGAGCAAACTGATTCATGCCGTAGCCCAATCGCTCACTCACAACTTTAATGCCAGTAGCTCACAAAGTAGGATTTTGGCTCACAAGACTCCACAGCTTAGAGGGAGCATTGCACTGGAAACGAGAGAGCTCTTTTGAGGACTGCCCTTGAGAGAACAGCTCTGAGAGCACTAGTGACTGACCCAGAGTCACACCAGCAGCTGCATGTGGAAGAGCGAGAACCAGTGTTCCCTCTGAGCTGAGTTAGTGTGAGCTAGCTCACAATTTCTTAGCCTCTGGCTTGCACATTTTTGTCTTAGCCCAGGAAGGAGGGCTCCAGAGCAAGCTAATTGATGCAGTAGCCAAACTGCTCGCTCACAGCTTTAATGTCAGTAGCTCACAAAGTAGGATTTTTGCTCACAAGACCCCACCGCTTAGAGGGAGCACTGGTCCCAAGCGGTTCTTTGGTGGCCTATTGATTTACCTAAATAATATGTCCCCACCTTTTCTCTGCAACGGGGACCCAAAACGGTTTATGTTGTTCTCTCCTTCTCCTCCTCAGAAGTTCCCCTTTTGTCAAATCTTTAAAAAGAGCTTTCCCCAGGCCTGCATACGGACCAGCAGCAAAATGTACTGGTAATGTTTAGCGTCGGACCTGGGTTTGAATCTCTGCTCTGCTGTGGGGCTTGTTGGGTGACCGGCCCGAGGTTACCCAACAAGCAGACAGTTCAAACCAGGGCCCTAATTCGACAGTCTAAGCCAGGGGTCCCCAACCTTTTTGAGACTGTGGGCTCCTTTGGAATTCTGACACAGGGTGGTGGGTAAGGCCGATGCTCCCTCTAAGCTGTGGAGTCTTGTGAGCAAAAACTCTACTTTGTGAGCCGCCGGCATTAAAGTTGTGAGCGAGCGATTTGGCTGCTGCCTAAATCACGTTGCTCTGGAGCCATCCTTCCTGAGCTGAGACAAAAAGTTGTGAGCCAGAGGCTAAAAAACCGTGAGCTAGCTCACACTAACTCAGCTTAGAGGGAACACTGGACCGTGCAATCACAAAATGTCTGCCGCAGGAGGTGGAGCCAAGCACGAAATGGACCTTGTGGGAGGCGGGGACACATACACTCCTTCTTTGGAGGTTTTAGTTCTTGTGGCTCTCTCTTACACGCCCAGGGAAATGTTGATTGCCACTTTGGGGTCAGGATGCAATATTTCTACAGGCTGGTTTGGCTGGAGATCTTGGAGGGTTTTTTTTGTCATCTTCTGGGCATGGAACAGGGGTCACTGGGTGTGTGTGGGGGAAGGTATTTGTGAATTATCTGCGTTGTGCAGGGGGTTGGACTAGATGACCTTGGAGGTACCTTCCAACTCTATATTGCTATGATTCTGCATAGGAAGACCAAGTGCAGGGGATAAATGCAGTATTTTTTTTAAATACACTGATAAGGAGGAGTGTGAGAGAGAGTAAAACCAACACTGCATTGGCAGCTGCACTGGCAAAGAGGAGTGCGAGAGAGAATTAAAAACCACACTGCGTTGGTAGCTGCTGCCAAAACAGTGTTATTTTCATCTGCACGGCCAATCAGATCTCCAGTCGCCAATCAGAAGCCTGGATGGGCAAAAAGCCTCACCTGCTCCCCCTTCTTCTAAAAACACTCGGCGGGTGCCCGGAAACGTACCACTGGGTGCCCTGCCCTGCTGCCCGCGGGCACCACGTTGGGGACCCCTGCTCTAACCACCACACCACACCCCGCCGCCTGTCCGAATGCACGCATGCCATTCTTGTGAGTAGTGTTCCCTCTAAGCTGAGTGAGTGTGAGCCAGCTCACAGTTTTTTAGCCTCCGGCTCACACATTTTTGCCTTCGCTCAGGAAGGAGGGCTCCAGAGCAGACTAATTTATGTAGCAGCCCAATCGCTCGCTCACAACTTTAATGCCGGGAGCTCACAAAGTAGAATTTTTGCTCACATGACTCCACAGCTTAGAGGGAACACTGCTTGTGAGTATATCAGGCCCGGGGAAAAGCTCTTCTTCAAAATCTCGGTAGCTTTGGCAGCCGAGGAGGTGGACTTTGGCGAAACGCCTCGTCAGATCCCGCCTGCGGAGA